AAACTCTGAAAACTCCTCCCTGAACCAATCCACCTTTTAACCACTCCGTCCCCCTTCCAAACACTCTGTAAATTGCAATAGTTCTGTGATGGTGACTATCAGTCCTGAAGAAGGGTCACTGGACTCAAAATGTCAATCCTGTTTCTCTCCCACAGATGCTGCCAGACCTGCAGAGTTTCTCCAGAAATTTCTGGTTTTGTTTTAGATTTTCAGCATCCACAGTTCTTTGTTTTACTCTAGTTAATTGACCTTTCCAAATTTAGCTCTGTAAATTGTGCCTCTTTGACTGTGCTTTTAGTTTCCTATCCTAATTTCACCAGAGGTGACTCACCATTATATCTTGATTGATGACACTTCTGCAAAGGGTTTCAGGATATTGCATGATGTTAAATTTAAGATTATCACTTGGGCCCCCATGCATTTCGGCTACATGCGTCAGTGGCTACACGTTTTCTCACATAAGGGACTCTATTCAGTGTAGATAAAAAGGGGTTTGTGTATAAATTGCACCATGTTCATTGGAAAAGAATTATGGAAACTGCCAATCACTGTAGCATTCCCCATAGCGACATCCTGACCAATCAGATCCTACCTGTCCAGTCTGAGGCTAGTTAGCCAGCGAAGATTCACAGTTAACAGATACCCTGGCATCTCCATGCCAAACTTGATCCAACCAATCAGCACCCTGTACTTCTACTGTATAAATTGGTGTTTCCTTTCAAAGTTTGATTTCTTGTATCCCTGTCCCTTGCATCCAAGACAAAAAGCACATTTTTAGCAATGCTTGTTTTAATGGTGCTGTATGAATACAAGTTGTTGTTGATGTTCGGCAACCATTTAATTGTACTGTTTTTCTGATCTGAGTATCTTAGGCAATGTTCTCTCCAATTTCCCTTCACTGTGCATGACTCCCTGCATTGTTTAATGGCCTGCACAATCCATATAAGGTTCTCACATGGCAATGCATGCTTGCTTCTGGCTTATTTATTCTCTAGATGCTGGGTGCTAAGTGACAGCATTGGTATCAAGTCTTTATGAATCTAACCATTCACTGCAAAAAGTTAATTTTTACGCATTTTTCCATATGACAGTTTACACAATGCTGCATAATTATATTAAAGTTAACTTGTAAAGAAATGTAAGGAGAATTTAAATGACTTTTCCAAAATTAATAAATTAGTTCTAATGAGTTTTTTTCATACATAGACTGGCTGAACTCAATGAATTTCTTAGTTTAGAAGTCATTTCAGTCTTGTTACATGGAAATGAAGCATTTCATTATAAATTTTCAACATGTTTTTCAGGTCAAACTGCTCCAAGCTCAAAACAGACATGTTCTCAAAACCCCATCAATTAACATTGGTCTTACTCCCCTCCCTCATCCCAACAGAACACACATTCCATCACATCCCACTCTCTTATCAAAGCAAACCTTGCAGGTGCTATAAGATTGAAGTTGGTGTAAATGCTCAGCAGGACTGACAGTATCTGTGAAGAGAGAAACGGAGTTTATGTTTCTGGTCAATGATCTTTTGTCAGAACTGATAAATCCATTCTCCTCCATTCCACAGTCTAGATGATTGCAATCCCAACGACACTTAGGAAGGTTGACACTATTTAGGACGATGTAGCCCACTTGATTCGGTCCCACCTGCCAACTTCAATACCCACTCCAACGTTGCAGAGTTGCAGCAGTGTGTACCGTACACAAGATACATAGCAAGAACCCTCTAATGCACCTTTGACAGCACCTCCCAAGCTCGCAACTTCTACTATATAGAAGGGCAATGGCAGCAGATACGTGGGATAACCCTCGCCTCACCCTGCCCCTTACCCTTACTACCAACTGCAAGTTCCTCTCCAAGCCACTTACCATCCAGACTTGGAGGTATATCCTCATTCCTTCAGTGTTGCTAGGTCAAAATCCTGAAACACCTCCCCACCCAACAGCATTGCATATCTACCTACAGCACACAGACTACAACGGTTTAAGAGGGCAACTCACCACCACCATCTCAAGGGCAAATAAGATGAATTCTTCCTAGTAAAGAAATGAGTGGCTGCCTATTTCTATTTATATTTAATGTTTGGCCAACAAAATTGCAGAAATTCTTCTCTCTCTCTGCTTTAGTGATTTCAGCCAGTTGAACCTCATAGAATATGATCTCCCTGATTGAGGCTGTTAATCTGGTCCAATCAGGGAGCCTGGCTGACAGACACAAACAGGAATGCCAATGGTTTCTGCTCACTCTAGGAGCCAGTTCTCAGCGACCTGGGTCAGTGTCATGTACTATGCATATGTATATAAAGGGTGACTTAGTGAAGGGATACCAGCCTTTGTGGAGTTATTTCACCATCATTTCTCTGGGTGATGATGATCCTTTGAGATGGTTGTCCTGTTAGTCAAAACTTTTAAAGGGAAACAACCTAGAGATGGGTCTTAACATGATAGGGCTGTGACTATTTCTTTTAGTAACTTGATCTATTGTGAGACTGTCCAAGAAAAGAGACATTGTTGATAGATTGCCTTGGAAACAAATGGTCTTTGTTATTTGTGTGGATGACTACCTTGTGTTTACTCATTGGTGGAGAGCGCCTGGCACTCAATTCTGTTCCATATTTTATAGAATGTGGTTAGTCTATTTTTCCACCCTCCTTTGTTAAGATTCTCATTCCCAGGCCTCCTAGCTCAGAAGTAGGGACACTATCACTTCCACAAGCTTTAACCAGTTGCAATTGGCAGCAAGCGCTGGTCTATTGGTTGCTTCATCTCTTCGTTCAGACAAATGCAGTGCATCTGCACATTGTGCAGAATTTGGATCAAAACTCCCCAAAGCTGTTGCATAAAAACATCCCTTTTGATGTGGAATTGATCTCTCAGTGGTACTACAACAACAACAACAGCTTGCATTGATATAGCATTTAGCATTGAAACACATCCCAAGGTGCTTATCAGGAGAAACACAAAACCAAACATATTACAAATGCTTGAGCTATTTTTTCTTCAGATTTGAGGCCAGTCTGCTCTGATGCGAATTTAGAATGTAATGGTAAAAGTCTTCAGATGGATGACACTGTATGAGCAATATCCTGAAATGGTGTCAGTGGAGCAAATCATTTCATTCAGGGAAAATTGCATCCATTTTGTTTCTTTTTAAATAAACAATGACAAACCCAATGAAGGAGACAATTGTCAAGTGTTTTCAGCTTGCACAGTATGAATTGTTCCAGGCAGGAAATTTGAAAATAAACTGAAATGAAGGGTTCCTATTCGCTGTGTCTTGAGGCATGTGGGCTAACTTCAACTGCGTCCATCCCTCTGATGGGAAAGGGTCAAAAATCAGAGAGCAGGCTGGACTTCTGTTCTCTGTCTGGTCATATCTGCTACCAATTTGCTCAGGGCATCCCAAGTGCACTGATGCTTTCTGAATCAATGCAGGAATCTTATTAAATTATGCAAGTCAGGCTACAGTGATGTTTATAAGATGTCAGTTGCCATTTTGTGCTACAATGATGTAGAATCAGCAGAGAAGGTGACCATTTTTCCCCTTGAGTGCAGACTGGAACCTGTACGTCAATGGAGCTGAGGTGGAGAAGGTTGACAGCGTGAAGTTCCTAGGACAATAACCAACAATCTATCCTTGTCCTCCCACGTAGATGCAATGTTCAAGAAGGCACAACAACACCTGTTCTTCCTCAGGAAGCTGAGGAAGTTCGGCATGTACACAAGGACCCTCACCAACTTTTACAGATTCACCATAGAAAGCATTCTCTTTGGGTGCATAACGGCCTGGTATGGCAACTGCTCTGCCCAGGACTGTAAGAAACTACAGAAGGTAGCCATTCACCTTATCTATACCCTTCATGATTTTATAAACCTTTAAAAGGTCACCCTCAATGTACTACACTCCAGTGAAAAAGGTCCCAGTCTATCCAGCCTCTCCTTATAACTCAAATCCTTCATTCCAGGCAACATCCTGGTAAATCTTTTCTGAACACTCTCCAGCTTAACAATATCCTTTCTACAGCAGGGTGACCGGAACTGCACACAATACTCCAAAAGTGGCCTTACCAATGTCCTGTACAACCTCAACATGATGTCCCACCTCCTATACTCAAAGGTCTGAGCAATGAAGACAAGTGTGCTAAATGCCTTCTTAACCACCCTGTCTATATGTGACAATTGTATTGTCCTGAGCATGAATCTTGCGTTATAGATAGTTTACATGCCTCAGTATCACACAGTTCAATTCAGCCAGAGTGCATCAGAACCCACAATTTATTCTTGATCCTGTTGACACATTAAGTGCTGCAACAGAGGCTTTTTAAAAATTTTTTTAACCGGATGAGGATGTCACTGGCTAGGCCAGCATTTATCATCCATCCCTAAGTGCCCAGAGTCAACCACATTGCTGTGTGTCTGGAGTCACATGTAGGCCAGACCAGGCAAGGATGGCAGTTTCCTTCCCTGAAGAACATTAGTGAACCAGATGGGTTTTTCCTGGCAATCGACCATGGATTCACAGTCATCATTAGATTCTTAATTCCAGATATTTATTGACTTCAAATTTCACCACCTGCTGTGGCAGGATTCAAACCCAGGTCCCCAGAATGTTATCCGGGTCTCTGGATTAGCAGTCCAGCAATAATACCACTAGGCCATTGCCTCCTCTGGCCCATTGGCCCAACCACCAACACATGATGTCAACAGTGAAGCTTTCATACTGTAAATACCAGTCACTGGTTTCACAACTTGACCCTGCTCATGGTTGCAATAATGTGTTGGCAATTTGGGATAAGTTGCATTTTGCTATGCAAGTATTTTAATGTTCCTGGGGGAGTTTTAACATCAGGAATCAACTGTCCATTATACATGTCTCCCAGCCTTCATTAATGTTGGCATCAGTGGATCATTTAATGCTGGCACTACCCTATTTGTCAAAGCCAATATTAGTCTTACTGTGTGTGAGTGAGTAACTCATGTGTCATTTGTTCGACAGGTGATACAGACTGTGTTCTTTGGAATCTGCGTACTGACAGATCTCTCGAGTCTCCTTACTCAAGGCACTGACGACCGAGAGCAGCAGAGACAGCTCAGGAAACTGATCTTTCTCCGAGACTGGTTAATGGCTGTCCTGGCATTCCCTGTGGGTGTGGTAAGTGGCCACGTTAACCCCTTTCCTGCCTTTTGCAGCCTTGTGGTCTAGTGCACAGAGCTTCACTCAATAGGAATGTGTATCGGAAAGTTGGGGGGAATTGTTGAAATGGACTGAAATTTGAAAAAGATGGAAGTTGTACACCTCAACATTGTCTGAATTTCAGAGAGGCCTGATGTGTACAGCTTTTTAACTAGGAGCACCAAATAGGAACAAACAGTTCTCGAATACCTCAATCAAGGTCTGCATTTGATCACCTTCTCCAGGACAGGAGCTTAACCATGTTTAATCCTGTCTTTATAATCGCACTGCCGTCTTTCACAGTCTGTGTGATACATTACAAAATATCCTCTCTGCAGAAAAAAGACCATTGGGCCCAATAAGCCATGCTGATATTTTGTTCCATACAAGGCTCCATACAAGATTCATTCAATCCCATGAAAATATCATTCAATTCTCTTTTCTCTTAGGTGTCCATTCGTGGTTCCCCTTAAATCTGTCGCTGCGTTTCACCTCAACTAGTTGACATGATGACCTTTGTTGTTCTCACCATCCTCTGGGTGAAGAGATTTCTCCTGAGTTCTCTGTTAGATTTGTTGGCGGCTGCCTTTTGTTTATGATCCTTTATTTTGGTCACGCCTGCAAGCAGAAATAACTTACTTATCAAACCTTTGTACAATCTTGAGGACCTCTACCACGTCACACGCTAGCCTTCTCATTTCAAGTAGAAGAAGCCCCATTGCTCTCCATTTAACACATAGTACTCTATTGAAACATTGTGATAAAATTGCACAGACGAATTCCAATTGTGTTCTAATCGATGTACTATGACATATCAGCAAAAAAACCTGGAACACAAATACTTCATTGTTCGGACTGCGGTTTAACATTCATCATCAGGTCATTGGAGCAAAGACATCTTGGCCAATTGAGTCCATTCTGGCTCATCCTCATTCCTCTGCACTATCCCTGTGGACCTTCAAGTTCATTTCCTCCAGTCTGTCCAACTTCTTTAGGAATTTTTTGATGAGCTATGCTTCCACGCTGGATAGTGAAACCAATTACTCAACTTATGTTCCAGCTTTTTTTCTGTCAGTCTCTCTCTATTTATGGTTCTTTTGTGTTCAGGATCAGACCCTTATTATTTTTATCTGTCATGCAGCGCCTCTTTTTTGAATGAACTTCACTTCATTGTTTATCTGTTCAATTGCTTAATTAAATCCTTATACAAATCATTAATGCAATCTCTATCTGTCCTGCTTTTAACCTTGACTCACATGCGATATAAAACTGCAGATGCTAGAGATCTGAAACAAACAGAAATTGCTAGAGAAACTCAGCAGGTCTGGCTGCATCTGTGGAGACAGAAACACAATTAACATTTTGAATACTTTATAAGGATTTCTGCCTTTACCACCATTACAGGCAGTGAGTTCCAGATTCCTATCATACCCACTGGGTGCAAACATTTTTCATCACATTCTCTCTAAACCTCCTGTCCTGCACCTTCAATCTGTGTGCTCTGGTCACTGATCCCACCATCATAGGCAAAAGCCTCAGCTCTTGAAGGCAAGTATACCATGTGCCATCTTAACCACTTTATCAACCTGACCCACTACCTTAAGGACTGGTGTACATACCAAGGTCCCTTCGATCCTCTGTGCTTCCCAGGGTCCAACCATTCATTATGTATTCCCTTGCCTTGTTTGTCCTGCCGAAGTGTATCACCTTGCACTTGTCTGGATTGGATTCAATTTGCCACTGAACAAACTATCCAGCCATCCATATATTCTCTCACTACTTACCACCCCATGAACTTTCATATCATCTATGAACCTGCTGATCAACTATCCTGCATTCAAGTCTAAATCATTTATATATTCCACAAACAGCAAGGGCCCCAAGCGCTGATCCCTGCAGAACCCCACTGGACTCAGGATTCCAGGAACAAAAACAGTCCTCAACCATCACCCTCTGCTTCCTGTTACTCAGCCAATTCTGGATCAATTTGCCAAATTTCCTTGGATCCCATATGCTGTTACCTTCACTATCAGTCGCCCATGCAGGACCTTAGCAAAAACCTTGCTGAATTCCGAGTAGGCTACATCAAAATCACTTCACTCATCTACACACCAGGTCATCTCTTTGAAAAATTCAATCAAACTGGTCAGACATAGCCTACCCTTAACAAAACCATGCTAACTGTTCTTGATGAATCTCTGCCTGTTCAAGTGCAGATTAATTCTGTCCCTTAGAATTACTTCCAATAGTTTCCCTACCAGTGAAATTTGGTTGACTGGCCTTTAGTTTCCTGGCTTCTCTCTAGCTCCTTTCTTGAATAACAGTACCACATTGGCTGTCCTCCAGATCTCCATGGCCAGAGAGGTATTGAAAATTATTGCCAGCCCCCCTGCCCATCCTCCCCTGCCTCACCCATCAAATTGGGATGCGTCTAGCCCTGGAAATTTACCTATTTTTAAGCCTGTCAGACCAGGACGTCTGATCTCAGCCCAGGAGCGTTGGCATGGTCAGTCAGCTACTTGGGGTGTTCGCGGTCAGGGGTTGTGTTTCATTGCAGCCCGAGGACAGAGCCGCAGTCAGCCTTGAGCAATGACAAGACGTCATGCTGTGCTTGGCATTAGGAAAACACAAAGCACTCCTACAGACAAGGTTCGTACACGAAATGGCACTAAGGATAGGTAGTCTGTGTCTCTTCATTCTTGTATCTCCAGTTACTATGACAGTTGGTCACACAGTTGAATAGCGATACATTTACAAATGTGAGATTCTATTTCCAATTAAGTGTCACCCTTGCCACCATGTGCCTAGAGAAGCTTGCCCTTTCTGTTTCTCTCCCATTACATGCACCGTGAAGGCCTATTTCAGGTTGGCAGCATTTAACCTGGTGTACAGTGCTGGCAGCAAGAATCCCAGAAGGTCATGGCAGTGGCAAATATTTCTGCCGCTCGTGAACACAAGATAGCATGGGTGCAGAGCCACAGAGGTGCGGTGCACACAGAATAAGACATTAGAGCAAAAGAACACCATTCAGCCCATCAAGTCTACTCTGCTATTCGATGAGATAATGGCTGATCTGATAATCCTCAACTTCACTTTCCTGCATAACCCCATAACTCTTGATTCCCTTCCTGATTAAGAATCTGTTTATCTTAGCCTTGAACATAGTTAATGACCCAGCCTCAACTACACTCTGTGGTAAAGAATTCTACAGATTCACTACCTTCTGAGTGAAGAAACTCCGCCTCATTCTATCTTAAATGTATGATCCCTTTTTCTGAGAATATGCGCCCTGGTCCTACACTCTCCAACAAGGGGAAACAACCTTTCTGCATCTACCGTGTCAAGGCTCTGAAGAATATTAATGTTTCAGATGAGGTGAACTGCAGAGAAAATCTTGAAATAACTAGCTGCAGCTTACAGAGAGGAACCCTCTCTGTAATTGACACTTAGCTCATCTTGCTCAGGGTCATCCCTTTGTTTCTGCTTGTGACATTAATAAGGCGCCCAATGATGTGGTGTAGTTTAATACCCACTCTTTATAGCTGACGTTCTTAGACAATTCCCAGAAAAGTTTGCTTAACATCTAGGTGAGGGTTTGAAAAAAGTGTCTCAGAAAGTCTTCTGAGGTCCCTCAAGATTCCCCATCAAACTTCGAATAGCAAGTGCTCAGTGGAAGATGATTTAAATAGTGCTAAAAGTTCTCAGCATCATGTTAACTCCCAATCAGCTGGTTGCTGGTCAGAGAGGACATTAGGTCAGAGGAACACCAGCAGAATGCCATGCAGACTTCTTAGCCAGTCCATTTAATCAGCGTTCACCTCGTTAACACTCTTCTGGCACTGTTCCTATTGCAAACTTCAACTCCTTTATCAAGGTGACACCTTGTGGAAAGGTTGTCCAGATTGGGACTAGAATTTAGAAGAGTGAAGGTGATCTATTGAAACATAAATGATCCTACAGGGAATTGACAGGGTGGATGCAGAAAGGATGTTTCTCTCCCTTTTGAACTGTCTTCACCCAGAGAGTGGTGAGCCTTTGGAATTCTCTGCCACAGAATTAGTTGTGATCAAAACAGTGAATGTTTTCAAGAAGGAGTTAGGTATAGTTATGAGAGCTAAAGGGATCAAAGGGCATGGGGAGAAAGTGGGAGCAGGGTTCTGAGCTGAATGATCATCACCAGAGAAAATAACACTTGAGTTCCACTAATAATTGGCTCAATTAATGGTTTACTAGGTGTATGCAGTGTATGGAAATTACAGAGCCATGTTAATGGCTGTAAATTTTTAATTGCAATTCGTAATGGTACTTTGCATCCTCACTGTTTTATTATGGAGCCAATGCACACCCAACAATCCAATCATGACTTTTTATAGCTAGTTAACAGAACATCTTATGTTGACCAGTCAGTAATGGCATGCCATAAGGCACAGAATTGTTTAAGCAAAACTTCCTTCTGTGACCAAGCCGATTCTGTATCCAACTTACCAACTCACTGTAGATCCTATGCGGCTTAATCTTCTGGACCAGCCTCCCATGAGGCATGTGGCATATGCTTCAGTAAAGTCCATGTAGTCAACATGCACTGTCCTATCTTCATCAATCAAACTCATCAAAAAACTCAATTAAATTTGTGAGACAAGACTTCCGCTGCACATAGCCATGCTGACTATCGCAACAAGTCCATTCTTTTCAAAATGCAAGTAAATCCTGCCCCTTAGAATCTTCTCCAATAATTTCCCTACCAGTGTAAGGCTCATCGGCCTGTATTTTCCTGGATTATCCTTATTGTACTTTCTTAAACAAAGGAACAATGTTGGCTATTTTCTAGCCTTCTGGGACCTTACCTGAGGCTAAAGAGAATCTCTGTCAAAGATCTCTGTCGATGCCCCAGCAAAGTCTTCCCTTGTCTCCCTCAAAATCCTGGGGTGGATCCTGTCAGGCCCTAGGGGACTTATCTACCTTCATGATTTTTCATTTGGACAAGTCATGTGATGTGAATGAACATGAGGATTAGCGGGAGGGAGGTGATGATCTCAGAAGATCCTTTAGGAAGAAAAGTGGAGAAAACAGAGGTAGGCACAGTCTAATCTTCCTTTCTAATAAAAACAAAATCCTGCAGATGCTGTAACACAGTAACAAACACAGAGAATATCGGAGATATTCAGCAGGTCTGGCAGCATCTTTGGAGACAGAAACAGAGTTAATGTTTCAAGTACAATATGACACTTCTTCAAAGTTCTTTAGACTTCTGAAGAAGAGCCAAAACAATCTTGAAACAATAACTTTTTTCTCTCCCACAGATGCTACCAGGCCTACTGATATTCTCCAGCATTCGCTGTGTTTGCTTCTAATCTTTCCTGATGTGCCTGAGGAGATTGGTGTTGATCCTCTGGTCTCATAAGGAGAGTTTATGAAATAAAACATGCCCGTTTGGCTCTTTGTGGCCTTGGATATCCTTCCCATGGTCTTCTCCAGGAGGACTCAGAGCGTGTACTCAACGGAGTTTAGAAAGATGTGGGGGTATTGATTTATTGATTGATTGATTTTATTCTTGTCACGTATCAAGATAAAGTGAAAACTGTTGCTTTGTGTGCTATACGTACCACATAAAGTGCATCAGGATACCAAAACAGAGTGGAGAAAACAGTGTTACAGGCACAGAGAAGGTGCAGAGAGAGAGACCAGAATTAACATTTGAGAGGTTCATGCAAAAGTCTGTAACAGCAGGGAAAAAGCTGTTCTTGAATCTATTTGTACATGTATTCAAACTTTTATATCTTCTACTCGACAGAAGAGGGTGGAAGAGAGTATAACCGGGGTGGGAGGGATCTTTGATTATGTTGGTTGCTTTCCTGAGGCAGTGGCAAGTATAGAAGGAGTCAATGGACGGAAGGTTGGTTTGGTATGATGGACTGGGCTGTGTTCATATTTCTCTGCAGTCTTTTGCGGTCTTGAGAAGAGCAGTTGCCATTCCAAGCTGTGATACATCCAGGTAGGATGCTTTCTATGGTGCATCTATAAAAATTAGTAACAGTCCTTGTGGACATGCTGGATTTCCTTAGCCTCCTGAGGAAGTAGAGATGTTGGTTGTGCTTTCTTGACCGTTGCTTCGACATGGGTGGACCAACACAGATTGTTGGCGCCCTCCATTCCAATTCCTGAAATCAATGACCAGCTCCTTCATTTTGCTGGTGTTGATGGAGAGATTGTAGTCTTTACACCATGCTGCTAAGGGCTCAATCTCTTTCCTGTATTCTGTCTCGTCATTGTTTCATTGGATCTTATTGAAACTTACAGAATACTGAGAGGCCCGGATAGAGTTTCCTTGTGTAGGAGTAACTAGGACCCAACGGCAAAGCCTCAGAATGAGGGACAACTCCTTAGAACTGAGATGAGGAGGAATTTCTTCAGCCAGAGGGTGGTGAATCTGTGGAACTCATTGCTGCACATGTCTCTGGAGACCAAGTCATTAGGTGTGTTTAAGACAGTTCTTGATTAGTAAGTGCATCAAAGATTTTGGGAAGAAGGCAGGAGAATGAGGTTGAGAAACATATCAGCCATGATTGAATGGTGCAGTAGACTCAATGGGCCAAATGGCCAAATTCTGCTCCTGTATCTCATGGTATTATAGTAGGCCACAGCAGCTCCCTTCCTTGCTCAAACCATAATTAGAATTGTCATTGGAGCCTGAAGGCATCTTCAGACCCTGATATCCAAAACAAAAGCTCAACGGTTTTTGTTGAGCAGGTATTGCGAACAATTAAGAATGTTTGCTGGATGATTTTAACTGGTCAGGTATTTTATATCTAAATAAGTTGACTGACCATGTAATAAGCTTTACCCTCAGGAAATCAAGTGTTACTGGCAGGAGCTAAACCGTGGGGTTGAGAATTCCTGGAGTATTTCTCAGGTACAACCTTAGTGCTAAGTCTGTGTAACTGAATTGTAATATATCCTTGCTCTTATGTCTAACAAGAGGATTATTGTGTAATGTGAAAGTAATATAACTAGTTTTTAAGTACCAAATAATAAACCTACCCTCTTTTCTCAGAGCCTCTGCTCTGCTGCAGGTTTTGTGTAGGCATCCTTCCCATATGTTTGAAATAACTTGAATAACAAGGATTGGTGTCAGTGAGTCTACACTACACATCTACACAGTGGGGGCAGCATGATGGCTCAGTGGTTAGCACTGCTGCTTCCCAGTGCTAGGGACCCGGGTTCAATCCCACCCTCAGGCAACTGTCTGTGTGGAGTTTGCACATTCTCCCAGTGTCTGCGTGGGTTTCCTCCAGGTGCTCCAGTTTCCTCCCACAGTCCAAAGATGTGCAGGGTAGGAGGATTGGCCATGCTAAATTGCCCATAGTTGCCCTTTGCTCAGGAATCTGTAGGATTAGGTGGGTTATAGGGGGATGGGTCTGGGTGGGATTCTCTGAGGGTCAGTGTGGACTTATTGGGCCAAAGGGCCTGTTTCCACACTGTAGGGATTCTATTCTATGAAATCTCAGATTGTTGCAGTGGACATGAGCTCAACATGTACACCAAACCTTCCAATATCTGGAGGATTGAAAATGCCCCTCAATCTACAATGTTGTCAAGTGAAACTATTCTTCATTTCCCTCCTAACTTGTTCACTTTCAAATTCCCTGACAGAGGAACAGTTTCCACAGATCAACTTTACTAATTACCTTCATCACTTGGTATTTGTTAATTAGGTCACCCTTGAAGTCTCCTTTGTTCCTTTTTGACAGATTCTATAATGTTCTTTCCTGCTGAAGGCTTTTTGTCATACTGTGGCAAGTTTAAAAAAATTGTTCTTCAAGGAAAGAGGTGGCTGCTGACTCAGCCAACATTTATTGCCTATCCTGTGTTGCCTTGGAGATGGTGATAGTAAGAACTCTGTCCAGGGGGTCACAGTCTGAGGATTCGGGGTAGACCATTTAGGACGGAGGTGAGGAGAGATTTCTTCCCCCAAAGAATGGTAAGGTAGTAGTTGATGCCAAAACATTGAATGTATTCAAGAAGTGGCTAGATATAGCACTTGGGGTGAAAGGTTAATGGGGGGAAAGCAGGATTAGGCCATTGAGTTGGAGGATCATCCACGATCATGAAGAATGGCGGAGCAGGCTCAAAGGGCTGAACGGCCTCCTGCTTCTCCTTTCTTTTATGCTTCTATGTTCCTCTCCTTCAAGTGCTGGTTTAGGTGGTGTAGGTAGACCAGTCTGCTGTAAGGGAGGGACTTTGACCCAGTGACACTGAAGGAGTGGTGATATTGTCCCATCTCACAATAGTGAGTGACTTTTTAGGTGAAGGAGGCGGGGAGCAGATTTGCAGGTGTTCCTATATATCTGTTGCTCTTGGCCTTCTAGATGGTAGAGGCTACTTGTTTGCAAGGTCCTCTTGAAGTAACCTCAGGGTGAGTTCTGCAGTACAGCTTTTAGATAGTGCGCACCGCTGTGTGTCAGTGGTGGTGTTGGGTGAGTTTTTGAGATGCCAATCAAGTGGACCACTTTGCCCTGGATTCAGTGTTTTGGAGCTGCTCTCATCCAGGCAAGCGGGGAATATTCCATCACACTCCTGACTTCTGCCTTCTTGACGGTAGACAGGCTTTGAGGAATAAGGAGGTGAGGTTCTCACCGCAGGAATCCAAGCCTCTGACTTGCTCTTTTAGCAATGGTGTTTCTATGGCAATTCCAGTTCATTTTCTGATCATTGGTAATCCTCAGGATGTTAATATATCAATGTTTTGTTTGACAGAAGAAGGTAGAAATCACATTAAATCACAGCTGGGAATGCATTCAGTGTTTTGCACAGGCAGGAACAACATCAACTTATTCCAAAGCTTCATGTAATACTTAAGCTTCTGTACTACATGAGTTCAAAAAAGAAAGATATTGTTACTTCAGTCTGACTTCTGGTTCCCTTGCAGATGGTGGTGACAATGTTCTGGACCTTGTACCTATACGATCGGGAGCTGGTTTATCCAAAAATCCTGGACAGTTTTATACCACCATGGATTAACCATGGAATGGTGAGTACAACAAGGGCAGCTGTCCCAACTGTGGATTTTTTGTTTTGTTGGGAGAGTGATGAGGAAAGGGAAATTACCCCCTCAGCAAAACTTCCGGAATGATCTTCCTGCCCATTTCACTCACCTCTACTTAATTTCACCTATTAATGTAATCTAGCCTAAGTTTGTTCTGTGTAACATCATGTTTGATTTACATGCCTTTTAATGAAACAATAAGCTAGATAAATCAGTGTACAAAGGAAAGGACATATAGAGGCACAAAGGAACTGACAGGACTGTAATAACATAAATCAAAGATCTGCTGATGCCAGAAATCTGAAACTAAAACAGAAATTGCTGGGGAAAATCAACAGGACTGACAGCATCTGTAAGGAGAGAAAGCAGAGTTAATGTTTCAGGTCCAGTGACCCTACATCAGAACCAGACTGTGTCCATGTTGGGCTCTGATCTATGGTATCCAAATCTTAACACCAAGTTCTGTAAGAGGTGTTTCTATTCTGAAGAATAAGGAACCTCACCGCCAAGTCTTCAATTCTGACATTGAGATTGTGCGAAAGTTGTGTAAACTGTGAAAAAAATTGCAGACTTTGCAAACTTGAGTTGCAGAGAATATTTTGTGCCATTAAAGTGAAGGATTTGTAAGCACTACATGTATCAAGTGAAATCCTCACTGTATTAGCTTATCCATAAGGAATTCTCCAAGTAAATGAACTTACTTTAAGTCTTAAACTGTCATGAGTACTGGTTATAGTGGGACCAATTTGATGCAGTGAGTTAAGACTGTTGCATATCGCATAAGACTATTGTGTTGGTCAACACTGCATGCTACGGCCTCCCAAGTGTGGAAAAAGGATGATCCAATGTTGTGCAAATAGAACTTAGAGGCAGTCTCACAACAGGGTAGATGGATTTACCACCTAATGAACAGGGATATCACTGCCATTTTTAAATGAGTTTACAACTTGCACATTGTTTTTTCATTCATGCATGGGATGTGGGCACCATTGGCTGAAGCATAGAGCTTTGGAGTTATAGACCGCGGAAACAGATTCTTCTGTCCAACTCGTTCATGCCAGCCGGATATCCTAACTTAATTTGTCCCATTTGCTAGCACTCGGTCCATATCCCTCTAAACCCTTCCTATTCATGTACCCATCCAGATGCCTCTTCAATGTTGTAATTGTACCAGCCTCCAACACCCGCTCTGGCAGTTCATTCCATACACTGTCGAGAGAAAGTATGTTCCTGTTAGGGTGAAAGGCAAGGGTGGTAGGTGTAGGTAATGCTGGATGACTAGAGAAATTGAGGTTTTGATTAAGAATAATAAGGAAGTGTATGTCAGGATAGACAACAGGGATCAAGTGAATCTCTGGAACAATATAAAAGCAGTAGGAGTACACTTAAGCGGGAAATCAGGAGGGCAGAAAGGGGAAATGAGATAGCTTTGGCAAATAGGGTTAAATAGAATCAAAAGTTTATTCTATAAATACATGAAGGACAAAAGAGTAACAAGGGTGAGAATAGGGCCCCATAAAGATCAGCAAGGCCACCTACGTGTGGAACTGCAGGAGATAGGGGAGATACTAAATGTGTATTTTGCATCAGTGTTTATTGTAGAGAAGGATATGGAAGATAGAGAATGTGGGGAAATAAGTAGCAAAATCTTGAAAAATGTCCATATTACAAAGGAAAAGGTGCTGGATGTCCTAAAATGCATAAAGGTGGATAACTCTCCGGGATCTGATCAGATGTACCCTAGAACTCTGTGGGAAGCTCGGGAAGTGATTGCTGGGCCCCTTGCTGAGATATTTGTATCATTGATAACCAAAGGTAAGGTGCCAGAAGACTGGAGGTTGGCTAACATGGTGCCACTATTTAAGAAAGGTGGTAAGGAAAAGCCGGGGAACTACAGACCCATGAGCCTGACATCGGTGGTGGGCAAGTTGTTGGAGGGAATCCTGCAGGACAGGATTTACATGCATTTGGAAAGTCAAGGACTGTTTAGGGATAGTCGACATGGCTTTTTGCGTGGGAAATCATGTTTCACTAACTTGATTGGGTTTTTTGAAGGAATAACAAAGAGGATTGATGAGGGCAGAACCGTGGACATGATCTGTATGGGCTTCAGTAAAGCGTTCGACAAGGTTCCTGATTGTAGACCCGTTAGCAACATTAGATCACACGGAATACAGGGTGAACTAGACATTTAGATACTGAAATGGCTCGAAGGTAGAAGACAGAGGGTGGTGGTGAAGACTTGCTTTTCAGACTGGAGGCCTGTGACCAGCAGGATCGGTGCTGGGTCCACTGCTATTTGTCATTTATGTAAATGATTTGGATGTGAATATAGGACATATCGTTAGTAAGTTTACAGATGACACTAAAATTGAAGGTGTAGCAGAGAGCGAAGAAGTACAGAGTACAATGGGACCTTGATCAGATGGGCTAATGGGCCGAAGAGTGGCAGATGGAGTTTAATTTAGACAAATGTGAGGTGCTGCATTTTGGAAAGGCAAATCAGGGCAGGACTTATACACTTAATGGTAAGGTCCTGTGGAGTGTTGTTGAACGAAGAGACCTTGGAGTGCAAGTACATAGTTCCTTGAAACTGGAGTCACAGGTACATAGGACAGTGAAGGAGGTGTTTTGTGTGCTTGCCTTTATTTGTCAGTGCATTGAGTACAGGAGTTGGGAGATCATGTTGCAGCTGTACAGGACATTGGTTAGGCCACTTTTGAAATACTGTGTTCAATTCTGGTCTCCCTGCTGTAGGAAAAAATTATGAAACTTGAAAAAGTTCAGAAAAAATTTACAAGGATTTTGCCAGGGTTGGAGGGTTTGAGTTATAGGCAGAGGCTGAATAAGTTGGCACTGTTTTCCCTGGAGCATCGGAGGCTGAGGGGTAACCTTATAGAGGTTGATAAAATCATGAGGGGGATGGATAGGGTGAATAGAAATGGTCTTTTCCCCAGAGTAGGGAGTCCAAAACTAGAGAGCATAGATTTAAGGTGAAAGGAGAAAGATTTAAAAGGGACCTAAGGGGCAACTTTTTCATGCAGAGGGTAGTGCTTGTATGGAATGAGCTGCCAGAGGAAGTGGTGGAAGCTGGCACAATGACAACATTTAAAAGGCATCTGGATGGCTATATGAATAGGAAGGGATCAGAGGGATATGGGCCAAATGCTAGCAAATGGGACTAGATTAATTTGGGATATCTGGTTGGTATGGATGAGTTGGAGTGAAGGGTCCATTCACATGCTGTACAGCTCTATGACTCTATGATTCTATAACATGTACCACCCACTGCATAAAAAAAGTTGTCCCTTAGGCCGCTTTTATATTTTTCCCTTCCTGCCTTAAACCTATGCCATCTGGGAAAAAGACCTTGGCTATTCATCCTATCCATACCCTTCATGATTTTATAAACATCTATAAGGTCACCCATCAGCCTCCGACACACCAGGGAAAAAACAACCCAGCCTATTCAGCCTCTCCCTATAGCTCGAACTTTCCAACCCTGACAACATCCTTCTGAATTTTTCCTGCACACTTTCTGCACCGATCCTTGTAGCACACCGCTGGTCACAGATCTCCAGGCCAAGAAACAAACATCTACCATCACCCTCTGTCCCCTACCTTCAAGCCAATTTTGTATCCAAATGGCTAGCTCTCCCCATATTCCATGCAATCTAACTTTGCTAACCAGTCTACCATACCGAACCTTGTCGACCACCTTGCTGAAATCAATATAGACAATGTCCACTGCTCTGCCTCCGTCAATCTTCTTCGTTACTTCGTCAAAAATCTCCGTGAAGCTGGTGAGATGCACTTTCCCATGCATTTATGCTGGGCCAACATTTATTGCCTATCCCCTGACTCCCCTTAAGTAGGAGGTGGTGAGCTGTCTTCTTGAACCAGTACAGTCCATGGGGGTGTAGGAGCATCTTCAGTGCTGTGAAACATGAGAAAATATTAGACTCCTTTAAATATGCAAGCTGTGCCATAGCTACCAAAATTTTTGTCATTTTGGTAGGCATTGAGCAGAAAAGTTAAGTTTTAAATTCACTCTGCATGGGGACTGAAGGAGTGATGGTCCTCTGCACATTCGCATCCCAGGCCCCAAAAAAACCTTCCACATCAAACAGATGTTCACCTGCATATCCACTAATGTAGTCAATTGTGTCCGCTGTTCCCGATGTGGCCTCCTCTATATCGGGGAAACCAAGCGGAAGCTCAGAGACCACTTTGTGGAACACCTACGCTTGGTTTGCGACAAACGACAACACCTTCCAATCATGAACCACTTCAACTCCTCCTCTCACTCCCTGGACGACATGTCCATCCTGGGCCTCCTCCAGTGTCACAATGATGCTACTCAAAAACTGGAGGAACAGCACCTCATATTTCGCATTGGGAACCTGCAGCCCAATGGTCTCAATGTGGACTTTACCAGTTTCAAAATCTCCCCATCCCCGACCTTATCCCAAGACCAGCACCCCCTCTCATCCCCACCTCATTGACCTGTCCGTCTTCCCTCCCACCTACCCGCTCTTCCTACCTCACTGACCAATCCCCACCACTACCTACCTACACTCACCTTTACTAGCTTTATCCCCGCCTCCTTGACCTGTCCGTCTTCTCTCCCACCCTATCGCTCCACTATCTGCCTGCTATCACCGTCCCCCACCTCTCTATTTATTTCAGAGCCCCTTTCCCGTCTCCCATTTCTGAAGAAGGGTCCCAACCCGAAACGTCAGCTTTCCTGCTCCGCTGATGCTGCCCGGCCTGCTGTGTTCCTCCAGCTCCACACTGTGTTATCTCAGACTCCAGCTGTTCTTACTATCTTTACATGTAAAGAATTTGGCCTGTGGCCAAATCTCAGAATGACTCTAGCTTCCTCACTTGTAGACATGGCTATTTAGATGAAGATTAAAATGTTCATCTGTTATATATCTTCCAGTTGCCATGAGAGACTCCCCCTGAAATGTAAAATTCAATCT